TTTTCCAACCTAAACAATTCTATGATTTTATGATTCTATAAAGCATCATAAAACAGAAAAATAAATAAATCCCAAGACCTAAATTGATTTACATTGTTTATTTGGGATTTGTTGATAGACTTAAACTCTGTAAGTAGACATAATAGGATATGATTAGTTAAGATCTGAGTGAGGTATAACAGGATCATGATTTACTGAAGGTCAGACCTGTATACAGAAGATTAAAACCAAAATACCACCAGATTGCTTTGGGACTTGCAGGAGCTGATCCTGCCAGGATATGTTTTCTGTTTCCATGCTTCTGAAAATCAAGGCAGAGAGGATTTCCTTTTAAATCTCTTTGTCTTTCCTGATTTCCCAGATGTCTTCCAAAATCTGAGTACAGGAAGAATTAAAAAAAAAAAAAAGGCAGTAAAGAGTTCATTCTTGTCCCAATAAAGACTTCTGACAAGGTTGTTAAGCTGTTAAATTATACAGGGCAGATCTTGTAGGATGGGAAGTTACTTGGCAATGACTCTGTAGATGAAACAGTCTACTGTAACTTGCTCATACATAGACCTGGAAACCCCGCATCCAAACTTTGTTCCTCATTTACTGTATAGCAAACTGCCCAGAGAGAATTAAAACGTATTCTGCCTCTTATCATCAGGCCTCAGAAAGCAGCTGGTCACTTCCATTGCCTTTGGATACATACCCTGTGGACTGATCCCCAATCACCTGGTCAGCAAAAACCTCAGTGGTTTCTTCCAGCAGGAAGAAAATCTCCTTGACAGGAGGGAAAGAGGAGAAAAGTCCAAGCCTTACCGTTCTTTTGGATAAAATGTAATCATCACTGGTGGTACAATTACAGCTGGCAAAGAACTGGGGACAGGAGCGTCGAAGCTGCCCCCATTAGGTGCAGAAAAGCTGGCAGAAAGCAAACGAGCCTGGTGGATGGCACAAGCTGGAAGGAGCAGTGCAGAGCTCATCTTGACCAGAAAGAACCTGTCAGCTTCAGTACCCTGTTGGGCATGTGGTGGTCAGAGAAAGGTGCCTATGGACACTTGACCTAAGAGTAAAACTTCTGTGAAACAAGATTGCCAGGATCCAGAGCACAAAGACTCAGTAGGCACCAGGTTGTCTCCCAGTTTATTAGCGGAGGCAAACACGGACAACTTAGAAGCTGTCTCATTTTTAGGCCCCTTCTCGCTCTGCTTGCCTGTTCCTGCCTATCTTCTGGTCACTTTTCTACTGCATGTCTTCCCTGAGAACTCCCCACCCATGCTATGCTAAGAGATGGCATACATGCACAGTGCCTGTCTCCCTGCAGAAACCTACACCCATTAAATAATAACAGGAGAAAACCTCACAGGCACACTGGGTTCCTGTTACTTTCACTTAGGGCCAGTTTCAAAGGCAGACTAAGGTGGCAGCCATCTATTCTAGCAAGAAACTGCATGTGCTAAAACTTTTATAAATGTGAAATTAGCCACCTGCAATAACTGTTGTAAAATTGTTAAATTAGTAACAGTGATTATTCTCATTTCTTGCTGGGATATCAGGGAACTAGCACGGAACAGCAGTAAAAAAGGCTCCTACATAGTCCAGAAAATAGGTTAAACCAAGTGTTGCTCCCGCAATGAAACCAGAAACCTTGCTGAACTCACTGCAGGGCCTCCTGCTTGCAAGGACTTTAAGTGTCACCCTATATCCCCACTGGAATAGTACAAAAGCGAACAGGAAAGAGTGATCCATTTTTTAATGCCTGCTAAAAATTAATCTGGCATGAAAAGAATTACAAGTCACAAGATGCCACAGAAAACTGGAATGTTTAAGCTTAATAAAACCACAGTTCCCAACCCCATTTTTTTCCAGTTTGAGGCGTCAGGTCTTCAACATACATTTCAGTGAATCCTCTTTATTTAATTTAATGAAGTACTTGAAAGCTCCCAGTGAATAGCAAGGCTTCACTCAAGCATGTACTGTATCACCGAAGGATCCACTTCTTCTGCCGTCAGACTGGCTTGCAGACTTTGGATTGTTGCTTTTTTCCCCAAACGTTGTCTCCACAGGACAAACGCAGCTACGATCTGTGACTGCAGGTTGTGAGGGTGATTGACTTTACATCGATAGATGTCAGTGTGGGACAAACCCAAGCACAGAACTATATGCTCCCATTCAGGTCCCAGTCTCCTCGCAAGCTTGTTCAGCTGCTGATCTGTTGGTGAAGTCTTCAGAATACATGGTGCAATTTCAGTTACATCTGTAAAAAAAGAAAAACAAAATGCATACACATGCCACTAGGCACTGCAGCAAATACTAATGTAAGACCTTGACAAAGGAGGGAATAAGCAAAGCTGAGGTGAAAGAATTAATTAATTAAAGAAACAGAATACATGCTCACCTAGAAAAATGAATTACATAATCAACCAGAAGATTCCTTAGAGGAAAATTAATGCTCAGTGGACCATACTAGCGAGCCTTGTGGTTTTGACTGTCAATAATCCAGATATCAGAATTCTACTCCAAAGCCATGACTTCCAAAAGTAATTACAGATTTTGGGGTAGTGAACAAGAAAGGTTTTCAAGCAACAGTTTCCAGCAGCCATCACCCTCTGAAAAATCAATCTGCTTGCACCAGTATGATATAGTGACAAATGACAAATACGGGACCAATAATACCTTATTACTCCTATTCTGTGACTCTGTTTATACACTTCAGCAATAACTTTGATTCCTTAGTTACTAGGTATTACTCTATTTCTTTGCTGAGGGCTGTTCACAGGAAATTCTTCTGTCTCCTAAGATGCTACTTACCCTTTGTGCCCTGTCATATATGGCAAACTTGTCTTGAGGAGACCAGCTTTGGGAGCTTTTCTTCTATTTGAATGAACCCATAAGCATGGTTCAGGTGAACCCAAATGAACAGGGCATCAACACTGTTCCCCAATACAAATTATGCTTCCTTATCCCTCATCCCAGTTTAGTAACACTCCTGAAAACAGGCATGTATGCGCTACAGCCCCATTCATCTGGCCTCCCTGAAGCTGTTTTCAGGAGAGCGCAAGGAAGTCCCATGTTCCTTCAGAGATTTCTGCCCTATGTCCCTTAGTATTGCCCAAGTATCCAACATGCTCCAGAACGCACTCTTCATCCAAGAAGACATTTAGCATCGAACTGGTACCTGAGTCATGGACGACAGGATCAATACAACTACCAAAACAGCTCTCACAGGAAGCGTTAAGGTCGCTGTAATTATCAGTGGTAAAAAATCTCTTTGGGACTGAACCAAGTATTTCTTACAAATACAAGTGACGTCTTTGTGTATCCCCTATGGTAATCTGATAATTTTGGTTTTTTTAAAAAAAGCATTAATACAAAAAGTGTTAATAGCAGAGTGAGAACACAGTGCTATTCAGAAACATGCTGGATGGGATCCATCTCACCTAACTACAGATAGCTCCTCCTGAACTAATTCTACTAGGATTAATTATTGCTAAGGAGAGAAATAGGCTCTTCTAGAATACAACCCATCTCACTGGAAAGAAGATGTCTAAAATAGACCAGATGAATTACTCCTTTAAACATGCACATTTCTCACCACTGACTTAAAAGGAGGGCTGGGTATAAGCTCAGATTTTGATGTTGATGCTGTAAACACCAGTGCTGGCGAAACGATTCTCTGCCTGTAAATTCAAGCCACATAACAGTTGCTTTAAAAAGGTGCATTTAGAAAAGCAGCATAAGATATCTATAAAGCATATTTGCTCTTCGATATCCTTTGCAATCACAAGCTGAAATTAAGGGTCAATGCAGCCTGCAATTGCTGCTCTACTTCAGTTGCTGAAGATACTGCGTCAAAACAGAGCAAAAATATCCCCAAGAAAATGCTAATTATAGCCTGTCAGTCTGAAGCAGCAGACTCCCTACAGAAGAGCCGCTTTGCAAAATCTAATTTATAGCTCCAATATCATGCTCGCAGTCTCCACTACAGCAGAACAGCAACATTAGAAAGCACCATTCCTTCATTTTATCAAAAGTAATTGTTTTTGCATAGAATACCCAGAGCCTGCAAACGTTTGTACAATTTAAGCCCAGTCATACATAAGTACTATACAAAGCTGCTTTGAGTAAAGGGAAAATTGCTTTCTGAAGAGTATTTAAGTCCCTTTGATCTTTCTGTCTCCAGATTGCCAAAGGAACCCGGGGCAAGTGGCTGGTTTGGCGACAGGGCAGAGGATGCACAGCTCCCGAAGAAGGTTGAGCAATACTGGAGGGGCTGCCTACGCTGTCACATCACACGTGATACCAGCTCCACAGGTAAGTCAGGACGAGGGAGTGCCTTTCATGAATGCAAATATTTGAGAATAACTAAAATTTAAAATAAATATAGCTACACCGTGCTGTCGCCAACACTACTTTTTGATATTAAACCCTTGCATTGGCTTACGGTCAGCTACTAAGCATAAAGCAGTGTGCCCAAAGGAGCGCTACCTGCCAGCCTGGGCTTTTTGCTCTCACACTGGAATTTTTATACTTCGTGTTCACTAGCAGCATGATTTTATGATACTGAAGTGTGATCAAGCAGGGAGGCCTAACAATAATACATGTCAGCTTGTCCATCCAGCCTTTGATATTAGGCAGATTTTTTTACTACAAGTATCTTGCCTTCAGCCTGTTATCAGCCCTTCAATAAGAATAAGAATAAAATCCATCCAGGAAATCTTTTCATCTTACGCTACCATCTGATTCTAATATGGATGTGGAAAATTCTGGGACAGAAGCCAAATGTTAAATTTAATACAAAGGACTGTTATTTTAGTCCCATTTTATTTTCTGTGATAGCTCTTTTTCAGCCCTCATACAAAGTCACTGAGGAAAATCTGAGACAAGTATTACATGACGGGCAATATTATTTAGAGGTATAGAGAAATATTTAGTGAGATCTTTTAGTTATGACAAATACAAAATCACAAAAAGATTTGGGTATGTTTTAGGATTAATGGCACTCTTAATTTAATAAACATAATAGTATTTCAGGTAAAAGGGAAATGAGTTTTCCGTGCTCGGCACCCAAGCTGCTTTGAACACATTGCAAAAACATTAAAGATGCCTTTTTTTGGTTATGTTTGCCACAGACCCTCACTTATAATCTCCATTTGTCAGGAACTGCCTGAGGGAGGTAACAAGATTAGAGCAAAAGTTTCAATTATGCAGATCCTGCAGTTGCATTTGAAAGGCACATTTAGGATACCGAGACCTCAATTTTGCAAAAAAGGTGAAGCTCTTCTTCCTTTAGGTGGATCTGATGTGGAGGTGTACATGCTTATGTTAGACATATGCTTCAGCTTAGCAAAATGAGGACTGCACTGTTAGAAACGGGAAGAAGCAGGGCTTGGAGCACCACGGGAGGGTGTCGAGGGTTTTCCCTGGAGAAGGCGATTTGCGGCGCTGTCCCCTCCAGCGACCACACCGAGTGAAACACCGTGTCCAGCTGTGGACATGGTCTACGCCGCAAAGTGCCAGGGCCGCGTGCTGCGGAGATTTAGAGGCTGAAGTCTTGCTGCTTACGCTGAAGCCACTAAGTCCCCGAGGAATGGAGAGCCGACAGCATTGTGCTGGGGAGACAGCCAGCCTTGTGCAGAGCTGCTCTCCTGGGACTGTGGCCAGCTTGCTGGCGCGGCGCTTGGGACCATGAAAATCCCCTTTCACTGGGCTGGAGGTGGGGAGGACACACCACCCTGGTTTTGGAGCTGAAACCAACCCAGAGAAAGACCCGCAGCTCCTTCTATTCCAAGCTGCAGCACAAGGGAACGCGCTTCTCCCCGTCTCCAGCTCTCACTGGTCAAGGAAGCTCATCCACCCTAAGCCTTTATCCTAGCTGTCCCAGTTGAAAAAACAGGCGATGTTGACAGCTTCTGGCCTGCGTGTACGTGTGTGCTTCCAGACCACTGCACAGACCGGGAGATGCAATGGTGCTGGTGAATGTGGACAGGAAACAGAACTGGATATAAATAGACAGTATCACAGATACGTACCAGACAAAACAAAGTAACCCAGATACCAAAGCTATATATGGGGCAAAGGCAGCCGGTCGCCACTTCTGCATTTCTTTTTCTTCAGGACGTCTCCAGCTTTAAGTAGGAGACTCCAAGAAGATGTTGCAACGATCAGGGGGATGGAAAATAAACTCACCCCAGCTCTGTCCTGCTTGGCACAAGTGGGAGGACGCAAGATAAAGTTCAGTGAAAATGGGCTTTGAATCCCTTAAAGATTTTTTTGCTTTTGCTTTCTCATCACCATCTCTAAGTGATGAAATAAGCTGAGATCATCTCTTAGGCTGTCTTGCGCCATGGGAAAATCTTTATCAGCATCAAGGAACAGACCTCCCTCTCTCCATGCTGCTGGAATGCAGTGGGGAGCAAGCGAGCTTGGCTCCAACACAGGACACAGCAGTGAAAAGTGCTGAGGCGTTTTTGGGTGATCTGCAAAGTACCCAGCTGACTCCTGAGAACTGCCGGCAGCCCAGCGTGCCTTATGGTTTTGTCTGAAGGATCCTTCTCCATGTAAGCGTGACTTCTCTGTGCATGACCAAAAGGATCTGTTGGAGTTTCAGGGAGCCTTCTCCCTTATGCGGTCAATACATTTTTACATGATGCAAGACAAAAACAACTTTTTGGCTTTTGCTCTCTGCTGTGTAAAAGTGACTTTGATGGAAATGATGTACCTGAATCCAAAGTGCTGAAAAAGTCTCAATCAGCAGCTGCCTAATCCTGCAAGGACAACTCCACAGGCAGTTCAGGAGACTGTTGGAGAGCCAGGGATACAATAGCCCACCTCTTATCTAATAACTATCTAACAAATCTGTCCCTTGGGAAAGGATGTTCTGGGGACTGGTCTCTGCTTCCAGAGCTGCCTCTGTATTTTATCCATTTAAATGATCATGTACATACTCATTGGATAAGAAGACAGAAGCAGCCCTGGAAGAGGAGATGGGAATCCAGGTCTCTCTGAGCTGCACATCCTAATGCTGAGGTGCACAGTCATGCTCCTCTTCATTCCCTTTCTCCTGATAAATCATTCCAGCAAAAAATGTAAAGATTTCCCTGGGAAGGGTCCAGAATGCTTCCCAGCCTCTAGAATGGAGCCTGGTGGAGAGAAAACTTGCCTGGGAATCAAGGGGTATGCTGAAACAGAGCAAAATTGCATGCAAGAGCCCTTGGCAGAAACAATGCTAGGCAAATGCTCTAATTTTTATATAAT